CTTGAGAGGAGCCTTCTTGGTGCCAAAGTCTCACCTCCCCTCCTGGGTCAAAAAGTCAGAGAGAGAGGCCCTTCTGAACTGGGAAAGAATCAAAATAATATGATGAGTGTGGAATTAAGAGACGGATAAAGCGTCTCTTGTAGAGGAAGGCGAGGACAAGGTCCTATACCATAATACCAGACAAACTAGGTAACTGCTGAAGTGTGATAAGGTTGTTGTTGTTGTCGTCAATTGTTTGATTAATGTTTAATAATGTGTGTATTGATTACTGATGCTGACTGATCAGGCTTATTATCAGCTACTTGTACTCAGTTTCTTATGACAGTATGCTGTATGTGGTTCCCCTTTGTGTGTGTTTTTACTACTACTACTTTCCTAATTAAACATGATGTGCTGGTCATAATTGGTGTTATTATTGATTAATATTAAGACAGATAGTTGTGTAGTGTGAATAGTACAGAGATCTGACAAGTAATGTAGTGTGACCAAGACTTTAAAGATGCCAGCTCATGAAGCCGACTGGTTCAGGAACAACACATTACTAGTTTCACCCTGCATTATGAACTACAAGCAGCAACACACGTTCAGGGAGTGTATCCTTACAGCTGTCCTCTTTTCAAAACAGTAACGTTATGCATGTGTGTGTGTCCAGCAAAGCTGTTGTAGTCCAACCCTATGTACAGCACATATATTTCCGCAGCAACACCTTGATACCAACCTTAAATAAAATATTCTGTACGACTTCTCAAGTAACAACACATTGTGTAATAAGTCAGCATTTTGTGATAAACAGCCTGAACCCAATATGTACTACATGTATGTAACACATTTCCGTTTCATAATAAATAATTACATATTATTGTGGCTATTACAGAATACAGGAGCACTTTGATATCATCTTACAAATACAGCCAAACTCAGGGACTTCACGTCAAATGTGGACATACCTGCAATGGTCTTTAGACGGGGCTCCCCAAAACCATCAAAAAGTTTAAGTTTGTGCTGGCTTTGTCGCATTTTCTTTTGCCATGCTCTCTCTCACTTTGTTCTTTAAAGTAGCTGATGTGTTTTGACTCTTCTGGTCTGGGTAGACGATTTGCCATCTTAGGACAAGTCAAGATGTGCAGTGTTTTTTGGCCAATCCTCATAATAATTTAACTTCCTCATACCTGATGCTCTGGCATCACCTATTCAACACACAATAAAGAAATCACCTGGAAACCACTTTGACCACCATGAGTGGGAAAAGTATTGTCTTTATCAAATCATGGTTTTCAATGCATTACCCAAATGATGCAACTAAAAAAAAAATATGATGATTCTGAACAAACCTGTTGTCTTTTGTAAAATTTACAGTTTTGAGTGAAAAATATGGTATCTGCGTAAATAGTGTAGATCCATCTAGATCTAGAACATATCCAGTGACATATAGAAATGTGTCAGGATGCAAGGCTGTTCTATATACTATTATATATAACAAAAAACAAATGAAATCACAATATTTAAGCCAGATTATATTTGAAAAAATGTTATAAGGATTATGTGATTACATTTTTTATTATGTCTTTCAAATATGGGAATTGTAATTGACTGTTGGTTGTAGTGCTGGGTGGTTTTCTGGCAGTTTCACAGTATATCAAAGTATTATTGTTTTTGCTTTACAGGGCCTTTAAATAGGTTTATAGTGGCAGGATTACAGGATTCAGGATTACATAATATATAAAAACATTTTAATGGCTTTGAATACTATAGGGGTTTTCCTAGCCCCATAAAATGATACAATATATGAAGGAAGGAATGCATCAGAATGCATGAAACTAATTGCATAATCTTAACTATTTTTAAAAAACTGAACTTAAAAATAAAACTTTGACACTGATTACTAATGTGTTAGTTGTACAAACACTGACATAAAAATTATAAAAGTATTTAAGTGTTCAAAGAGATATTTCTCACATTCTCTATTGCACAAGAGACAGAAAAGGTACAGCAGATTTTTCTGTTATGCACTGGTGTGGCAATATATGAAACATCACATTGTCACTGGGACGGTGGCTCAGAGGAAAAGTGGGTCGTCCACTAGTCGGAAGGTTGTTTGTTCGATCCACAGCTCCTCCCACCAAGTGTTGAAGCATCCTTGAGCAAGATACTGAACCCCGAATTCCCCCTAATGCTGTACATCGGTGTGTGAATGTGTATGAATGCGTTAGGTCCTGTTCAATGGGCTTTGCCATCACTCAGTGAAAGTGTGCAATATTCATGGCATAAAGTGAATATGTGAAATTTGCTCTGTACTAGTTTTTCTCCTTTGATTAGGAGAAAAACTTGATTAGGCAGACACTGCTCAGTACACATACAGGATATACAAAGAATGATTTATTTATTATTATTTAATATTAGTTTATAGCATGCAGTGACTAATGCTGTATTCCCCGTGTGGTAAATGGATGGTTAGGGAACTTAACTTGTATAGTGCCTTTCCAGTCTTCCGATCACTCAAAGCGCTTTTACACT